ACGGCCAAAAAAGTAAAAGATAAATTTTTATTCGAATTCGAATTTATCATTGAACTAAAGCACCCATATAACTACGGCAAAAAAGAGCAATACATTAGTTCTTTCATGTCATGGTAAATTCCGATTTCCAGGAAATTCAAAAAAGTGACTATAGGAGAAATTTCATGGAAATTTAATTGAGTGTTTTTAGGGATAGTCATAGAAACTCTTCTAACAGAAAAAATATAGAAATGAAGTTGAAGTCTGAGTTAGGATTGAGTTGAGTTGAGTTGTGGCGAGTCAAGTCAAGTAAGAATATATATATATAAAATATATGATTCAATTTCGGGTAGGATTGGGTTGAGTTGGGTTGGGTTGCCATCCCAACCCATCCCATCCCATCCCAACCCTACCCAACCCATCCCAACCCAACCCAACCCAACCCAACCCAACTCAACCCAACCCATCCCATCCCAACCCAACCCAACCCAACCAATCCCAACCCAAGCAGAAAACAAAGAAATCCCCGTGACGGATCAGAAGGCAAAAAGGAGTCTTTTTATCAAAATACCGCAGGACCCACAATGCGCTCCGAAGGAGCGCGTGGGTCCGAGGAAGGAGTAGGCGCCGTGGAACAAGTGGTAGGTGGCAGCATGCGCTCCGAAGGAGCGCATGCTGACGCCTACCACTTGTTCCATGGCGCCGCACTGAGCGCTGTGGCCGCGAAGCACTTATGAAACTGGAATAGTTGAATACTTGAAAACCTGAATAGTTGAAGTAATATTTGAATACTTGAATTCAATTTTCACGTTTGACACTACTGTAATTATATGGGTGCCTTATTCGAATTATAAATTCGAATTCGAAGAAAATTTTATCTTTTGCTGCAGCAATGAAAAAGGGGGTGTGCGCCCGAAATTTTCATTTATATTCGAACTCGAATTAGGCAGCTACTCATAAAAATCCGGTAATCTGCTGGAAACTCATTTGAAGAACTGCTAGAGGTCTTAGAATCCCTGAAACTGTTTGAGATTTTTTCGCATCTAATAATAACAACGATTTAGAGCAGCATATAACCTTACTGTCGCAGTTTTGTGGAAAGAAACGCAAATTTCTTCTTGAACCTTTTTATTTTGTTTTACTTGAAATCGATGTTTCAAAGGATAGATTCCTGTTACATATCAGTAAAATGAGATTCTTACAACAGTGGAAAATTTGACATCCCATAAAATAAGAACAAGGACAAGAAAGCGAGAGATTGATAGCGAATAAAAATAAACTATAAACCTCTCTGTTGAATATGGAAAGACATAAATAATTTCTATTCGTTATAAATGTCTCTTTTTGTTCTCTTTGTTCTTATTTTGTTTCAAGTAAAGTTATTAATTTTAGTAACAATCTTATTTTCTTTATCTACAATATAGCAATATCTCCCATACCCTTTCCTAAACCCTTTTATGGGTTTAGGAAAGTATTTATTATTTTGATAAACTCTTCTAATGGGTTTATCGAAGAGTTTATTTTGTTCCTAAACCCTTTCAAAGGGTTTATAATTTTTCTAAATCTTTTTAAAGGGTCTATTATTTTTCTAAACCTTTGTAAAGGGTTTATCAAAGGATTTATTATTTTTCTAAACCCTTTCAAAGAGTTTATCAAAGGGTTTATGATTTTCCCAAACTCTTAAAAGGGTTGTTGAAAGTGTAACGTATAATAAACCCTTAAAGGGTTTATGAACTTTCTAAACCCTTTGTTAAACCCTTAAAAAGTGTTTAGGAAAATTTTACATACGGTAAAAAGGGTTTATTATACGTTACACTTCCATCAACCATTTTTGGGTTTATTATTCTACGGATTTTTTTTACAGTGTAGAGTATCTATGTCTCTTGCGTCTCGTTTAGGCTGTCTTGAATAGATGTTCTGAAAATGCCCGGAAGACATTTATTTCTTCCAAGATGAGGCTTCTGCACGCTTCGAAGTAGAAAGTGAGTTTGACTCTTTAATGAGCGGTTAAATAGTATAAAGAAACTTTGAAACAAAAGTTTCTTTGTTGTGCTATTTCGTTATGCAGATGAGACTAATGATACGATAAGATAGTATGTATGTTTTATATTAATGAGATATGCATCGTTTCTCTGTCATGATGATATTTTTTTTATATATCGTACATAATTTGTTTTGCATATAACATTAAGGACTTTTTGTACTTTGAAAATAATATGCAGGAAAAAACAAAACATATTCAGAAGAAGAAAAGAGAGAAGATTTTGAAATATGTATATATGCAGAACAGTTATGGGAGATGGTAAAATGTTTCAATATTTTCGAGAAGTTGATTTGCTATTTGTCGAAGAGGTGTATCAAATAATTTTGCAATTAATTGATACACACGCCCAACAAAAATTGGATGGGACTCCCATATGTTTGGACACTATGAACGAAATAGGAAGTTGATAGTATTTTGAAAAAAAAACAATAAATAATACGCACTTCGGGTATTTGGAGGTGAGGAGCTGCACTTTCTGGAATAATACGTGTAATATCAATTTGTTGTATCACCTTTTGTAATTTTCTGTTGGTAATGTGATAAGGTGAACAACCAAAATAAACATTTGAAAACTTTGATTGTAACATATTCAGCTCCACTTTCCCATATTCAAAATTTCTCCAGTTAATGAAATAATCAGAATTCAAAACCTAGAATAATAATGAAAATTATTTTATAAGGGTATTAACAATTATACTTGAAGTAATGTATCAATTGTTTCAATAAAGCTGTTTTTTGATATAAGCATTATCGGTAAATGGAGTTCTTTCGCCAACTGTAATTGGTTTAGAAATATCTCTTTTTGAAGATGAACTGATGGATGTCCGGGACTATATATAAATGGTTAGGTTAAAATTGAAAAGTTAACAAAGTTACCTTGTTAAATCGATTCCTATCTCTCCCAAGCCAATAATATGTTTATTAGATAAAGCAGTTCTTAAATGCAATTCCACAGTTAAATTATATTTATGAGAAAACATTGGGTGAATTCCGCAACACGCATATACAATCTCATGTGTTAGATAGCCAGAATATTTACCCCAATTTTCTAAAAAAATATTCAAAAAATAAAAAATATAATCATTTAATTCGCTATTATATATCAGCATTTTTTATTTAATCAAATTCACTGCTATTAACATAGTACTAAATATGTCTATATTACTTCCACCATCTTTATTAACGTGTATATAAAATTTAATTTAATAAAAACAATATCAATGAGAAAAGGATTAAACTTTTTCGATCAATATTTTAGACTTCCTTAACTGATCTTGAAAGTGAGAAACTTATTTATTTACCGGGACTTATGTGATGTGGAGTAGAATATACTTGAACAATGTATTTCATATCCATGCCATAACTATAAAGTTGACCATTATAATAAACATATTCAGATATTGATTGATTGGGTTTATTTAGTCTATACAGTATTTTAATCCAATATACTTATGTTAACGTAGATCGAAAATATTCACAACGTTAAGAAGAAACTTACTTGTCAAACAAGATATCAAGATGACAATAGCCATCTGCTATGAATAATGTTTCATTGCCCCTATCTTCAATCAAAGCCAAAATATTTTTGATCATATTACTAATTTCTTTCTCAATTTCTTGGCGAGAAAGATGTTTATGTACAACAGATTTTTTCTTTAACTGCGCACCAACACAATCTTCTTCAACTCGTATTTGCTCTTTATTAAACAAACAAAAACGTTCACGTGTATAATCAGACTTTTTTTCATAATCCGAGCCATAGATTCGAATTGATCGTTTCTGAAATGGAAGCGGTTTATTTTATTAATTCCCATAATGGAGTTTTCAAATTACCTGTTCCTGATCTTCGAAAGATTCATTTATAGAATGACTTTCTTGCCAAGACATATCACTAGACAGATGAGATCGACAAGCTGATGCAAGTAATTCACTCTAAAAAGAACAAATCTTTTTTATTTTTTGATTCCAATGATATCTTCATATTACATCTAAAGACTTTTGATGAAATTCTCTCACAGCATCTTGCTGTAAATGAGAATATGTGACCGGCTGTACATATCCACTTGTTCGTTCAAATAATTCATTCTATGAACAAATAATGTTTTCACTTTATTCACCACAATAAAGCTTCTGTCTCACCTGTAAAGATTGTTGACAAAAGTTTACCATAGAAACTGCTATCAATTCCAAAGACTTCTTCGAAAGATTAGAATCATGTAATAATTCAACCAAACGTTCCTAACAAAAAGAATAGATTCAATTGTTATGTAAGAATTAAAATAAAATTACTTTCTTTTCATCACCATCATCATTAACCACTTGATGAGAAGTTTCGTGTGAAGAAAAAAATTGATTTGAACGATGAAATTGATCTAATGGTTCAACCAAACGTTCCTAAAAAAACAAGAATAGATTCAATTGTTTTATAAAAATCAAAATCAAAATCAAAATTACTTTTTTTTTATCACCATCATCATTACACACTTGAAGAAAAATTTCTTGTGAAGATAAATATTGATTTGAAAGACGACATTGATCTAATGGTTCAACCAAACGTTCCTAAAAAAACAAGAATAGATTCAATTGTTTTATAAAAATAAAAATAAAAATTACTTTTTTTTCATCACCATCATCATTACACACTTGAAAAGAAATTTCTTGTGAAGATAAATATTGATTTGAACGATGAATTTGATCTAATGGTTCAACCAAAAGTTCCTAAACAAAACAGAATAGATTCAATTGTTTTATAAAAATAAAAATAAAAATTACTTTTTTTTCATCACCATCATCATAACACACTTGATGAGAAGTTTGTTGTGACGATAAATATTGATTTGAACGATGAAATTGATCTAATGGTTCAGCCAAAAGTTCCTAAAAAAACAAGAATAGATTCAATTGTTGTGTAAGAATCAAAATAAAAATTAGTTTTTTTTTATCACCATCATCATTACACACTTGAAGAAAAATTTCTTGTGAAGATAAATATTGATTTGAAGTACGACATTGATCTAATGGTTCAATTAAATGCTCCTAAAAAAGAAGAACAGATTGAATTGTTTTATAAAAATAAAAATAAAAATTACTTTTTTTTCATCACCATCATCATAACACACTTGATGAGAAGTTTCTTGTGAAGCAAAAAATTGATTTGAACGATGAAATTGATCTAATGGTTCAACCAAACGTTCCTAAAAAAACAAGAATAGATTCAATTGTTTTATAAAAATCAAAATCAAAATCAAAATTACTTTTTTTTTATCACCATCATCATTACACACTTGAAGAAAAATTTCTTGTGAAGATAAATATTGATTTGAACGATGAAATTGATCTAATGGTTCAACCAAACGTTCC